AACTTTCTCATAACACTAATTCATATACTTTGTGTTGAATAAAAATATATTTGTGAGCATACTTAAGGTATCTAACACAATTATACAGTAATATTTAAATAATAAAATAGCATGATATACTGCATATTATATCTGACAATTATACAGTAATATTAAATTACTCATCAAATTTCATTTTGCAAACTGCACTGTTTATAGATTTTTGTATTTATAATTTTTAAACAGTACTGTCACAGATTTAATTAAGCAAACTACATCTCCTAAGCTAGAGCTCATGTGCGTACCTGTTTAGTGGATGCAAACATGTACTTTTATGGTGAATCCAAATGTACATCTTTTCATTGAGTATAATTATGATAAGTTAGTTGTGTATCCTTTACAGGAAGTTTCAGAACCAACCCCAACAGCCCCTGGCTGTTGTGTGGTTTTTCTAGACAAATTTACGTCCAATAATTTGCTATATAATTATGATAATGTTTTCTAATTCTATATGCACCATGTAACTGCAATATCTACAAGAAACTAAACATAAAATACTAAATGTTATTTGTAAATACTTTAAAATAAAAAAATGTTGAAGTCCAAATCAAGCCCTTTGAAAAAATTCATGTTTGAGTTCCATGATCAGATCAAGATTTAAGTTCAAGTTCCTTGGAAATGATTAAGACCAGTGAACATGATCCAAGTTCAAAGTCATGTGAATAAGACCCAAACTGAAAATTTCTGGCCTAAAATGACAAAGGCATGGCAGAATGTTTTGCCTCCAACAGCACTTTGTTGGTGCAATTTCCACATGTGGATAGTAGTCTACAGTTTAGCTGCCTGAGCTACTGAGTTTAGACCCTGTGAGCTGTGTTTTTCCTATGGAATACCTTTCATTAGTACCAGTGGTTGTGTCGTGATGTTTAATATGGCTGGTAGCTGGTTTACGTGTGAGCTGATGGAATACCTTATGTAGTAATTCTAAATGCGTATGGCCAACTTGTCATGTCTACTTCAATCAACGACAGACTGCATTTCTGTTGGCAACTGTTGGCTTTTGACACCTCTGGCAACTAAAATGTGCATTTGCTGCTTGCGCATATTTCTGGATTGTTCCGGGGCTTATTGTTTATTCACCAGTTTTTCATATGCGACAGTGAGGGGCATTTCATTTGATTTGAACTGGCACAGAAATGGAGCCAGTATGGGGAAACCCGATTACAGTGATGTTAAAACCTCGACTATGACTAAGACCCAAACCTCTTAAACGAGACTGAAAAAACAAAAAAAGTTATGTATCTTGAATGTATATGAAGTTAGGTTGCAAGACTTGAAAGTATCTCAAGTTAATGAAGTTTCATTGGAAATTAAGCTTTTCAAACACACTGAACATTTCTTGAATAGTTCCAAGATAAGTGTTATTATTTATCTCCACTTGCTAACCAACATTACAAAAATTGAAATAATCAGTCATTTTATGAGTGTGACAGAAGTCTGACTGTAGCTTGGTTGATAAGGTCAACCAATAATACTACTGAGAATGGGATTTTAAAACAGTGGGTGGGCAAGAAATCCCACGACTAAAGCTCCTAATATTGTAAACATTTTAAAATTAAAACAAAATCATATGACATTTCTATTTTTCTTCTTCTTAAAGTCCATGCTGTGTGGTGCTGGTGGTCATGTCTATCCACAACCTTTTGTCTCGTGTACTTTCAATCAGCTCTGACACAGATGATCCTCCATGTCATGATGTCAAGCTGTCCAGCATATTTTCTCTCCAACTGTTCTACTGTCGCGATGTACTCCAGTTTTCTCCTCATCAAATAACCAAAGAATGTAGATTGTCTCTTTGTGATTTGGGAAATCAGGTCTCTTCGTTAGTCAGTTTCTTTCAAGACATCTTCATTACTCTTTTTATCTGTCCAGGGTATTCTCATCATTCATCTACAAAACCACAGCTCCACAGCCTCCAAGAATTTTTTCACTAATCTATCAACTGTCCATGGGTCACTTCCGTTTATCAAGATAGGATTTATTTAGCTTTTAAGAATTCTCTTGTCCATCTCAACTGACAAAGAAAGATTACATGAAATATTTTTTACTTTATAAAATACTGCCTTTTCTTTCTACATGTAACTTCTTTAATACATCTTCCATCTGATGTTATCAGGGTACCCAAATATTGAAACATATCAGCTTGCTTCAGGTTTGTCCCATTTGCTTTGATGTTGCATTTTTTTTTTAAAACTAAGATCCTTATTTTCACTTTCCTTTACAATGATATCCATTATTGCTTGCATTGGTGTTTCATTTTCAGTGATCAAAACTATGTCAGCATATCACAGGTAGTTAACAATATGCGTACCAACTGATATTCCTTACAGTTTTTACCAAAATAAAATGAAGTATCAAACATGAATCATTTTAAATGAAATTCATTATTGAGTGAATGTTCTTCATTATAGGTTGAAGTATTAATGCACCTACATGTGATGAGATACAGTGAAATATGCCAACACTGAACTTTGCAGTATACTGTTTGTGTATTCAGTATTTAAATTCACAATAGTACAAATTATTTTGAATCACTGATCAGCAACAAAGAAGAAAAACACTGACAACCTATATAAGCTGAGCACTGAGGAAAATTGGCTTTTAAACAGCATCCTGTCCCGAACCCTGAGATATTTTGGTCATGTTAAACATGGTGGAGAGAGCGGGGATGAAGGTACAGTTTCCTGAAAACGAGGCAGACCTTCCGAATGTGGATACAGAACAATGAAGATACACTGCTTGTGAAAGCACATAGGGTTGCAGAACTGGCACCTGGTTCTGTAAATAACCTGCTGATTGATGATGATGATGATGATAGTCTGTTTTGCCAGACCAGGACTTATTTAAGAAATACATCAATTACTTACTCCTTCAGTGACCTCACAACCATCCCAGTCTTACAGAAAGCAAGCAGCAAACACTGGCACATTGTTATAATAGTGTGGCCATCAGATGATTAGAGTTAATCACACTATCATCCATCCATCTTCACAGTAAAAATTTCTTTTGTTGTCACAGTGTTACCGTGTTGTGGCCCAGTTGTAACTAAGTTTTCTGCATTTGTCTCTTATAATAAACAAACAGACAATATATTAATCAGCACTCACAGAAAGAGATAGAAAAATAGAAGGGCACATTAGACAATAAAAAAATCAAAAGCTCACCATTCTGGGAATCAAAACTATCACCTCCTAATGATGAATGCACCTTGTTGTGTAAACAAGTGTACTAAGTGCATGACCAACTAGGCACCCCTACAAAAAGGTTTCTTCATTAGCCATGTCTATCGTACAGCTTGAAGTCCACAACTAAGAAATACAGAGAGATTTCATCTCAAACCATTGAAGAGGCACCACAGGTTACATAAACTTATATTAAACAAGCATAGGTTGAATTACAAATATTTCTGTTCACATATATTTTTATCTTGTGCTTCTTAAGTGGTTTGAATGATGGATTTCTTCTTCCTTTTCTTTTTTCCTCCTTCTTTGGTGTGTATGTGTGAACGCATGTTCTTGTGTACATACATGCGCGCAAGATTCAGCTACTATATATCCACATTTCCATAGCCTTTCTCTTGCCTTCCACCCAAGCGTTCTTATGTAGAAAGTCTCACAGCCTTCCTTTAAGGTAGCCAAATCACTTCCTTTTTTTTGTCTTTAGATGTGATTTAGACCCTATTCTTTCCTGCATTATTGGTGACCTTTCGAGATGGTGCATTTCCCTTAGTTATTTTCTGTTGCTGTGATCTTCTCATTGTTCATGAGGAAATATAGTGGGGATGAAGGTCCTATTAATTATTTGCTGTTTTGCTTGGAGACATCTAGGTGGCTAAGCAGTAGGATTAGCTGATATGTGATGGCATTTACCTCCCAAACTCTAGCTTGTCTCAGCTGAGCCTACCATCTTCTGTAAATACGCTTTCTATGTATTTTGATTCTTGTATGTGTTTGATTGTTATGTACTACTGACATTCAGAACTGCAGTCACTTTACTGATACGATAAAAACCTCCATACTTTATATTACCATAAAGATTACGAGTAAAAAAAATCTATTTACAATATTTATGTTCAGATCATCACCAAGATTATGAGTAAAAATACAGTCTTTATACAATCTTCATGTTCAGAACACAAATGAGATTATAAGGCAAACAAACAAAATCTTTGTACAATATTTATGTTCAGTACAACAATATGGTTTTGAGTAAAATATAACATTTTTACAATCTTTATGTTCAGAACACCGCGAAGATTATGAGTAAAAATTACACTTTTGTACAATGTTTATGTTCAGAACACAACTGAGATTATAAGGCAAACAAACAAAATCTTTGTACAATATTTATGTTCAGTACAACAATATGGTTTTGAGTAAAATATAACTTTTTTACAATCTTTATAGAGATAAGATCAGGAATGAGATCATAAGAGAAAAAGTCGGCACAGAACCAATTCTAAATTACATTCGAAGACAGCAAGTGAAATGGTTTGCCCACTTAGAGAGAATGCCTTGTGACACCATATCATACAAAGCATACATGGAAAGAGAATAAGGACGTAGAGCACGAGGTACACCAAGTACATCAGAGAAACTCTACAACAGCACGATGTGCCTATGGCGACACGGCCAGAAGAGCTAGAAACAGAACCTTGTATCTCCCTCGACACCCACAGCGGTAAAAGAGGAAGTGAAGAAGAGAAGACAATCTTTATGTTCAGAACACCACCAAGATTATGAGTAAAAATTACACCTTTGTAAAATGTTTATGTTCAGAACACCACCAAGATTATGAGTAAAAATTACACCTTTGTAAAATGTTTATGTTCAGAACACCCACAGGGTTTTGAGCAAAAATAACATCTCTGTCCATTTTTTAACACCATGTTAAAAGGTTATGTAAAAACTGCAAATATCTATCCAATTATCATCTTCAAAAGATGCACCAATAATAATTGTTTATGAAAACAAACTCTCTGATCTATCTTCAGACTCAGAAGAGCTTATGTGTGTATCAAATTTACACCAGCTCAGATCATCAATGTCTCTTTCTAATTTACTTTCTTCAGTTACAACTCCTCCATCTTTATTTTCTAGACTTTGTTTTCTGTTCTTATCCTGATGGTTTTGTTTTCTCCCCACCCTGTTTAAAAGACCAACATTCTCATCTTTAAGAGTGCCTGACTTCAGAAGATAATCAAATATGGAGCCTTCCTCTGAGAACAAACTATCACTAGTTAATCTACCACTGCAAGTAGGTGCAACTGAATGTTCGCCGTTTAATAACATAACATTTGAACTCTCTGTGGGAGAGCTCTGTTTCTCTGTATGACTTTCCAAACTTGAGAAGACATCATCCATAATATGTGCAATATTATTTGCCCCTGAAAGTATTTCTTGCTTTGATTTTGTATGATTACCCATTGCACATGATTTTAATTTAGATCCTGCCACTTCTCTATGAATATCCTCTGCTTTCGATGGGACTAGACCTGTGTAAGATAAAGTACAATCTCTTTTGTTCCTTTTATTCAAAGGCTTATTCATATCTGGTAATAATGAGTTATCTTTTCCATCAGTTATACCTTCTTCTGTAGAAGGTATATCCAAACTGCCATTACTCAATAAGCTGCCAGTTAAACTGTAACGATTTCTGGCTTTTACAATTTTGCCAGATTTGACATGAATTCCCTTGTTAATATTTTGACTATTTCGTTTTTTATTCCCCATTCTTGTTCCTGTTATTGCAACTTTAGCAGTAGTGCTTGATGTTTTAGCAACTAAATGAGGTTTGGAAAGGGAATCATCCCATTTCTCATCTGGCAGTAAGTCTTCAGTTTCTGAAATGATGGCTGTAACAGAGTCCTCAGACTGGGAGGACAAGCAGTTATTTCTGCCAACAAGTTTTGATGAAGTAGAAACTCTAGGATGTCTGACAGCAGATCTTGATGGTACCACTGATGGATGCTGATCAGATGGTCTGGAATACTTTGCATTGCTTTCCCTGGGTGTACTTGGGCCTACATGAGTTGAACCTGTCCTCTTGTTTCTGTGAGACATTCTGACTTTGTCTGTGGTTTGGCGCTTTTGTGGAGGTTCATCTGTTGGTGATAAAAGAATCTACATGAAAAATGAGAACTGTACTAGCACATTTATTCTTATAACAGCTTTTGACCTAAAAGTTTCAATTTTTTTAAAAACCCAGATAGTTGCTACATTAGCTTCTGACCCACATAGAAGCAATATTAGCTTTTGATCCACACAGTAGCTATATTAGCTTCTGATCCACACATTAGCTATACTAGTTTCCAACCTAGATATGCTATACTAGTTTCCAACCTAGATATTGTTCAGTTAGCTTCTAATTAAGAAAGTCGTTACACCAGTTTAAAAAAAAAATATATATATATAGAGTTTCTACATTTGCTTCTGACCTAAGCGAAGTAAGTTCTGGCCTAGAAAGTTGCAACATTAGCTTATGAAGCCAACAGCTGCTACATCAGCTTCTGACCCTGATTGTTGCTACATTAGTTTCTGACTCACACTGTTGCTATATTAGCTTCTGACCCAGACTATTGTTTCATTAGTTTCTAACCTAGACTGTTGCTACATTAGTTTCTGATCCAGTTTTCGCTACATTAGCTTCTGACAGATTTTTGCTACATTAGCTTCTGACCCAGGATGTTGCTATGTAGCTTCTGATTCCAACTGTTGCTACATTAGCTGCTGACTGATTGTTGCTACATTCGTTTCTGACCCAGACTGTTGCTACATTAGCTTCTAAATCCGATTGTTGCTACATTAGCTTCTGACCCAGATTATAAGCTATATTAGCTTATAATCTAGACACTAACTTTAGATTTGATCCAGGCATCGTTATATTAGATTTTTCGGCTATCTTCCGAATAAGAGTCCTAAATTATCGAGGCTGAAAATATACCCTAATAGGGCCTCAGTCACATGTAAATTGCGGACTTCCGGCGACTTAAATTGCACACTTCCGGTGGCCACCGCCAAGAATATCTCCCACATCGTTTCGCGTCGTGGATTGGGGCTAAACTAGATGGCTGGGACTCACAAGAAACAGCTACAGCATCTCCTGCAGCTTCCTTCATTATTTTTGCTCGTGAGTCCCAGCCATCTAGGTTAGCGCCACTCCATACCGTGCGTAGTGGCGTGGGAGATATTCTTGGCGGTGGCGGAAATCCGCAATTTACATGTGACTGAGGCCCTGTTAGGGTATATTTTCGGTCTCGATAATTTGGGACCGTTATTCGGAAGATAGCCGATTTTTCATTATTATATCTAGCAAGTCTTATCAATCAATCAGTCCAATACCTTCTCCACAACGAAGTGTCCTGCATTTTTAAGGTGCACTCATATTAGCTTATTCCACTTCTCTGTCTTTCTCTTTAGGACATATTTTTGCAAGGATACGTGTCTTTTTCGACAGTCTTACCCTGATCTCATTGTGGCCTTATAACCTGCTCTAAACAGTGCGGAGGCACAGATAAATCATAACGTTCCGTAGAGAATGGCGCTGAGAGGAGTTAACAGGGAATCTGGCCGACACTCAACACTCAAGGAAAAGGCGAGACAATTATACAATGAGACAGTTACTGGTGCCATCGGAATTCTCTGCTTGCTGCTGAAGATGGGGACAGAGCGCTTAAGGGAGTATCCTGAGTGCTATGATGTTGATTCTTAATTCAAAACTGCTCTAATAATACTTAACTAATGTTATACACTGTTCTGAAATTATTCAGTAAGTTTTATACAGCACTCTAATTTTATTCAGCATATTTTATACATTGATATAACATATTTAGAGGTTTACGGAGAAAATATTGGAGGCATATATGCCAGGGAATAGAGGAAGGCCAAAGAGAAGATGGGTGCAGGATATGGCGGATGATCTCCAGATAGGCTAGATAAAAAGAAGGTCGCATAGCAGCAAGTAGAATGGATACATGCTGCTCATGTGTTCACCTGTTTGAATTCCTTTTGAGGAAGGATTTAAAAAGCAAATGATCTGGGCTCCCAGGCCAATTCAGCTTAAATGAGAACCAGGAGATTTCCTTGGAAGTTAAGGTGACCGGTGTGATACTGACCACACCACAGAGTGCCGATTGATTAAAAAATATGGGTCTAATGTCATATCCCCACTACTGTCCTTCACATTTTATTAATAAGCCTGAGGTGATTGATTGCGTGTGCAGCTACCGATCTGTTGTAACTGCTGCTTCCATCGATGATGTGCTCCCTTTCTAGTGCCAGAATGTTTGTGTCTGCACTTCTGATGGCTGCCTTATGTATTTAATGCATGTGTAATCTACTTGCTCTGTGATACTTCTTCTTCTTCTTCGCGCTCACCAGCTATAAACTCCAGCAGAAAGTTCTGGTTGTTCATCCACTGCTGGACTGCAGTCCTGTTTCAGAACCTGATTGTTGCGTGAACATTCATTTTACAGATCTGACTCATTTGTATGCAGACTACTGGTTCCTTACCTCTCAGGCAGATGCACTCCGACTTCGAAGGAAACTCTCAATTAGTCGACTCTTACGACATGCTTTTGGGTAGGCAGTGGGTCTGTTTTTGTTTTCCCTATAATAGGGCCCAGGAACCCACACGGGAAAACCTGTGAGACTACAAGTCTGTGTCAATTATTTCACAAGGGACACTGATGAGCCTTCTGTGTAGGTTTTTTGCTGTCAGAGAAATGGAGCAACTTTAGGTGGCTTGTTTGCTGTGATCTCAGGAACTGTGACTATCTGATGACATAAAAGCATGCAAGTTTCAACCAATGTGCCTCAAAATACTGTATTAAATACACAGTATGTTAGAACCAAAATGTTCAAAATTGTTTCTTATATTAAAAGTACATACCTGCTTGTTCTCATGCTAAATAATGTTTTCAAGGTGTCTATCATCTGTGGATGTTTCTTTGAATAGAACTCTCTCAGCATGTCTAGCCGTGTTTTTTGATCAACATTCAGTAAAGTCCTGGCCAGCGCCAGCTGATCCATGCCAAGAGACTTGCAGAATTCATCCACTGTTGTCTACATTAAAGAGAATGAAAACAGACATCTAGAATTACCTTTTCTTGTTCACTGTAAGCAAAACAGGAGTTAAATGTTTTTATTAGCAGTCGCACCAGCCGTGCAGTCCTACATCCACAAGATCTCCCTCGCTCTGGTGCTACACCACCTACAAATTATTAAATACAGCCTGGTCTTCTTCTCCGCTTCTTCTTTTTCCACTTTGGGTACTGAGGGAGATAAGGTTCTGATTCTTGCATTTCTGCTTGTTTTGATCATAGACACACATAGCAGAAGGAGAAGGAGAAGAAGGAGGAGAAGAAGAAGAAGAAAAAGAAGCAGCAGCAGCAGCAGAAAAGGGAAGAAGACAGATATACGAGTTGTTCTTCTTTGAGTTCACTAGATTCAACCTCCAGCAAAACTTTCTGGATGTTTGTCCAGATTTGTAAAACAGATGTGCACGAAAAACTCCAGTTCTGGAACAAAAAGTCCAGAAATGAATGAGCAACCAGAACTTGTCCGCCAGAGTTTACAGCCAGTGAACACCAAGAAAAAGAAAAACTGATCATTTTTCAATCATGTGTGACTAATTCATACAAGAGAAGACTTGGCAGCCCAGTCACTAGCACACCTGCCTGCTGGTCTGGTGGACATAGGTTCAAATCCTCATCAATACAGAATTTTAAAACACATTTCGGCATCCAGACTGATTCATTATAAAATGCGCACCAGGAAATGCTAGAAGAAATAAAGATGGCCAATGTGAAATTAATCTCATTACCCACTGTCTTGATTGGTCTCTAAAATTACGAAGGAAGTCCAATTAAGATGGGTCCATTGCTAAGTATGAATATCACTGAACTTAAGATAATTCAATGGCAAATACTGCCTTTAAAGTGCAGACTTTCCCATGTGGGTTCTAGGGATCCATGGGGGGAAGGGAATGGGGGGGGGGGGGTGGGGGGGGGGGACAAATAATAGACCCACTGCCTTCCTGTCAAGCATGTTATAAAAGCTGACTGATTAGGAATTTTTCCTCCAAAGTCAGAGAGCTACTAGAGGAACCAACATTATGCATACAAGCAAGCCATAGCTGTAAAATAGATGAGCATGCAAAATTCAAGTTCTTGAACAAGAATGAAGTCTAGAAGTGGAAGAACATTCAGAACCTTATGCCAGAGTTTACATCTGGTGAACGTGAAGAAAAAGAAGAAGTGTGAACTGTTAATTTGTCACATGTACTAGGCCATTTTATAATGAGATCAGATGTTCATGACCTTACTAACTACCCATAAATTCTCAAAATGATAAGACAAATTCTGAAAATTATTCGGGGAGGGTCAGCGCCAGATTAATGGCCAGCAAACAGAATCATGTAATTGCTGGGGATTAAAACCCACACCACTGCCTTGAGAAAAAAATGTGCACTACCCACAGTTTTATAGTTTTAGACACATATACAACACACCCAAATGCACACACATATACAACACACCCAAATGCACACACATATACAACACACCTAAATGCACACACATATTATACAGTACTACCCACCTCTTGAGGGAAGCTGGAGTTTGTCCAACTAACAGGAAGGAACCAGAAATGTTGCATTTTATAACAGTACTGTCTGGCTTTTGTCTGCGTCTGCCCTTTTTCTGCTGCTCTGGTAATTTTTCCTAAAGTGTATTTCAAAGAGAAACTGATTATACAAATGAATGGTTATTTTGGTAAAAGTAGTTCCATAGTAAATGTCTTCTTAGCATTCACCGGCTGTCAACTCTGACTGAAAGTTCCAGAACCTGAGTTCTGCATGTGTCTGTAACTTTATTAATATAGAATATTTTACGGCCTCAAGGGTTAATTTATGTGAATGACATACACACTGGAACCTACCAATCAAATACCTTTCTTAAATGTTTGTGTATTCTAGACAAAGCATTAAGGTCTACTGTGTTCATAAATTGTTGCTGTGCTTGTTATTCAATCTATGCTTCGTTAATATAAATTTCTATAACCAAACGATGGTTTGAAATGAATTCTGTCCGTATTCCATAGTTGTGGATTTCAAGCTGTACGACAGACATGGCCAATAAGACACCTTTTTTGGGGTGCCTGGTTAACCATGTTCATAGTACACTTGTTTCCATAGCGAGGCGCACATGCCGTCTAAAGGTGGCAGGTTCAATTCCCGGCACGGTAACTATAGCTTTAGATTTTTATGTTGTCTAGTGTGTTCTTCTATCTTTCTACTTCTTTCTATGGGTGGTGATCAATACACTGTCTGTTACTTAATTAATATATAATATTCATTTTACAGACCTGGCTTATTTGTATTCAGACTGTTGGTTCCTCACTTTTCAGGCAGATGCATTCTGACTTTGAAGGAATCACCCAGAATTAGATACTTTATGATATGCTTATTGGGAAGGGGGGCAGTGGGTCTATTCTTTTCCTCCTAAAATGGGGTCCCTGAACACATTCTCCACGAAAATATGTGGTGGGGTTGGCAAATTTCTTTTCTTGTTTTCTTTCCTTTCCAGAAAATTCTGGAAATTATCTGGCCATGTTCATGAGGCAGGATCAACCCTAGAGCCGTACTGGCAGAGGACAAATCCTGCCACCTGAGGTTTGAACTTAGATAATTATCTTGTCAGGCAAGTGCACTGACCACTCAACCACTGTGGCTGCAATAGTTAATTACAGCTGTATTCTTCAATATCTGGTCCCTGGACCAGAGCTGGCCCCCCAGATTTTCTTGTGGTCCTCCAAATCATGTAGCAGTTACATGATTCAGACACTATGCACTGCTTTAGAGTGAGTTAAGATCCATCTCTGAGTTATACACCCATAAATATTTTGGTTCATTTTCTGAGTAACAGCAGATGTCGCATTTACTAAAAATTGTAATTTTATAATATGTAACACAATAAATACAATGTTATCTACACTGGTGTTTCTTTCCGTCTTAGTCATCAGGCGGTCCGCAAAATCTATATCTAATGTTTCCTGTTTACAGGCTGAAAACACTGATTTATAAAATAAAATTGTCACAATTTTGCATGAAAGGTAAAAAAAACAACCTGTCAAATACATCGACTGCTGTCTTGACATTAAAGGTCCATGGCAGTGTACCTCCATCAAACTCTGTCCTGAATCATCATGGTGCATTTACAGGTTTATTTGTGTGCAGCTTTTGATGCTAAACACTCTCATGTAACATTATCTTCCTCTTACATACATCCTCTCCCACCTTAAAAAGTAAGTTGCAATTCCTTTACAGGACGTTGCAGAACCAACGCCGGCATTTTTTGGCTGTTACGATTTTTCTAGGCAAATTTTATGTTCATTAGTTTGCCACTACCTCTGAATGGTCAGCTCTCTGTACCACTGTCAAAACCAGCACAAGACAGTTTGTTGTTTCTTGCCACTTGGGCAGGCGGATGCACTCCAACTTCAAAGGAAGTCACCAATTAGTCGACTCCTATGACATGCTTGTTGGGGAGGCAGTGGGTCTATTCTTGTTTACCCTATGATGGGTGCCTGGAAACCATCACAGTGAAAGAAGTATGTATTCTATAATACCTGCCTGCACTGCAGTGTTCTAAAATATTAATAAGCACTGCACATAGTAAAGATCTATAAAACGACCACACAATCTGACTTGTACCTGGCTATAAGGATCACACTGTAGAGCCGGAGCCTGAGAATTTGTGTGCAGTTCAAAGACATCTTGCATGGCACAGTTGGTCATGTGGTCCTCTGCCCTGCTAGAGCCAACCACCTTGGCATTTGCGTGGGTGTGAATGACATCATTACTTTCTGTTGGAAAGGGGGAGGGGGGGGGGGGGGATAAAAACATATTTAACTAAAATAATTTGGTCACCTTTCAAGAGTTCCCCAGTATCATCTACCATATACTAGTTATTTGCATATTCGTTCCTGGATGATGCAAAACCAGCACTAGAATTTTTGGTTTTACTAGGGAGCTTCAAAGATAAACCTTAAAATTAAAAGTATGATAGAAATTTTAATAACCAAGCCAGTTAATATTATTGTCAAGTATTTCAAGAGTGTTAAGCAAGTGACATCATGGTGCAGACAAATACAATTACATTACAAAGTAAAGTAAAAAATAAAGGACCAATTGGCACTCGCTGAGTTATGTGGTCAGCATAATGACAGACGCCTCTATTTCCTAGGACTATATGTGGTACAAACTCAAGGCTGGGTCGACCTGGGAGCTGAGGTTATTTTTGAAAAAGTCCGGCTCCGTCAGGAAGTTACATTATAATGACAGTTTAAAGATGGCCACCCCACTTTTGACATGCACCAAAAAGGAGCAGCATTCTGCTATCAATTTTCTGATCAGTGAAGGGTTAAAACCTATAGAAATTCATCAGCGAAAGAAAGCCTAGTATGGCTGCCTGTCAGTCCAAGAAGTGCATGAGTGAAGTAGGAAGTTTCAAAATGACATGACTTTTTGAACACTGTTCATGACCAAATCAGTCACAGAGAGTAGTGACACCAGAGTCAACTGCAGCTGTTAAAGGCCTCGTACATGAAAAGAGTCAAAGAAGTGACACTGCTGCACATCTTGACATTGTCAAGGTTTAGCACACATCATCCATGATGTGCTACAGTACCGCAAAGTGTCTGCAGAATAGTGCTTTTCTTTGGTACAGGTCAAAAGTGGGGAAGTCGTCTTTAAACTGTCATTTTGACATTACCATGTTTGTCTGCACTGTGATGTCATATGCTTAACACTCTTGACATTCTTAACACCAACAGTGATAGGTTACAACACAATGGCATGGTTTTTGTAATTTCAACAATGCTTTTAAGGTTTACCATCGAAGCCCCCTCGTAGTAAGCAACTGTATGCTTCTGAACAATCAGCTTTTAAAATCCTTGTCAAAAACAATGTAAAGTTGTCTGCTGCCAAATCGACCACAGCTAGAATCTAAACCAGGTATCTTCAAATAATGAAGACTAGTCAATAATGAACAAATATCATGAGCACAGAGATGGGAAAAGACCCGACAAAATATGGAGTGATCGTATCAAGTACAACCTTCAAGAAGTTATGACTAACTGACAAAACACTTGAGAAAGAAGATTCTGAGGATACTTACACCTTTGCTGAGGTAAATAGATGAAAAGAAGAAGAAACAGATAAAAGTCTAGATAACAGCATAGCAGATAATGTGGACAGAAGCTGACGATGCCAAACTGGTTAACAGCATGGCGAAAGAAATAATCAGCAGCTAAACGAATTAATAAAGCATAGAAAGATGAAAGCCTGTGCTGTTCAGCATGCATCAAGATGATGAAAAACCATTACTGGTGCTATGCCAGCATGATCTGGAAGAGCCAAAGATTAGAGATAAGGATGTAGAAGAACCAAGGGTTAGTCTGAGTTATGAGTTGGGCTATCTTCATAGCACTCTGGATACATCCATAAGTGCTCAGATTTCCCCTTCAACATATTCCTCAGCGTCCCACGGGTAATAGTGCTGGTTAACAAGATTTCTTGTACATCTAGTGTGCCTGTCATGCTTCTCTGGGTCGATCTTTACTCCATCTCATATTCTTACCAGTGATGTGGACATGGTGCGCCCAAAATCCTTTGATCATCCTATCTCTCTAAAGGCATTAAAAATGTTGGCCCCATCCACAGGCCAGCCATCTGCGACTAAGGCAGAACCTGCCCAGTTTATCAGCTCTATCACTGCTGTGATGAAATCATCTCAGTGTTTTTAGAAGTTAATGTATTTTATAATTTCTTCTATTCAATAAAGAAACTAAGAATTATATTTACTATGCACTAAGCCCAAATACTACAACCAGGTGGGATTTAAAATTGTTTCCATTATCTTAGCCCAGAAAAAGAAATAGCCCTGGTCTAAGATTACTCAACACTGCCATCCAGTCCACTGGCGGAAACCACAGGTGACAGAAATGTTACATAATAGGCCAGACTAGGCCCTCTGAACCTGTCAAATTCAAGGAAAAAAGTTTAGCCAGCAAGAAAGTCCAGTTAAGGCGTTGTTTGCAGTTGTCACGAGTCTCTGAGTGGATAGATGCTTTTGTGATGAGTTACAGTGGAAACTGGACTAATATCCGAGCTATGTTGATCTCAGACAGTCCTGGATATCCCCCCCCCCCCCCCCCCCCCAAAAAAAAAACAGCAATATTTGGCTCATCCTGTAAATTCATAGCAGCTGCACTTGGTACCCACAGGAGAAGGAAAGGGGTTTTAAGTGTCGAGATTATTTTAATTAATGAATTGTTAGACAGGGCAGGTTACCCCTCCTGATGTCCTCCTCCTGGTGAAGAATTATTAAAGATCCCCAAGTTTAACAGTTTAGTTAAACATGTAAGAAAAAACATACTTGGAATTTGACAAAAGATGCAGTGTAAAACATGATATATTGATTTATTATACTAGCAATCATTTAGGTGACATTTGTCATTTTAATATTTTTGAATAAACAGGGATGGTATGGTGGTAATGAGATGTTTAGTCAGAGAAGTGAGCACCTGAGATTAGAGTGATGTTCTTATGATGATGATAGGTTTACGAACATAAATTTTGACTAACTTTTGGATTTAATAATGTGAAACCTCAGATGTGGAAGAGCTGGGAGCTTCAGGATTTGAGGATAAGAAAAAGTTGACGCAAGAGGCTTGATATGAAAGAGCAAGAGTTGTAGGCTTATGGATTATGGAAATGGAACATCTAAAGGCTGGAAGTTTTGTGCTAGCTGTTGCTATCTGGTATGCAGAAAATAATTATTCAAGTTTTAAAAGAAGAAGAATATTTTTTCTATGAAAAAGTGCATCAGTAAATATGATACATTATGCTACTAACTACCAATCCTTTCCACTATAAATAAAGACTTCTGTCCACACCTTCAGGTATACTGGGTGCATAGGGCCAGACCTATATATTTCAGACCAATCCGCACTGGGTAGGTGATTGGGTCACCATCGCTGTATTTATGTTTCCCAGTACTTTAACTGGTACCCATTTAAGGCTGGGAGTCAAGGTCGTTTAAAAAAAAATAAGTCTGGCTCTGTCAAGACCTTTGGATCCACATCCTTTCTTTTATCATTACATATTTCACAAGGAATATCATGTTTGTTTTCCAATACCTGTATCAGTAATTATATTGTTGAGAGGAATGATGATAATAATTGTTATGCAGATAATGAATTTATTGAAAACGATTATAATGTTTTTGCTAACTTACTCAGAACAAGCTGTTCTAATGAAATATTTCCTTTTGAAGTGCTAGCTTTCGCTTCTGCTGCTGATGTTGCCCTGCCTGTGCCAGCTTTTAATCTTTCAGTAGAAATGTTCCTGCCAGGGTTTACGTTACTTCTAGCAGCACAGTGTGAAAATAGAGTTTCTTCCGGACCTGATGTAGCAGACGTGCCATCCTTTAATTTATTCTTCTTAAAGTCAACAAGCATTTTATTTGTTTCTGCAGCTTTTCTTTCAACTCGCTTGTTAATATTTTTTTCATCATCACTATCATCAAATAACCACGATAAGCCAGACACTGCTCCTCGATGAACTGTCTCTGCGGCCTCAAAACGCTGGTCACAGACATCTGAATTTCTGTATGTTCTAGAAGAAAATGTAATTCCTGTGAAGGCAACTGTATCAGGGCTCAGAAGTCTAGTTTTCTCACTCGACAAAGATGAGAGGCCAGGTGCCAGTAAAGATGGTACAGGTTTTTCAGTGCTGCGAAGCTGAGAAACTGGCCTCTTGCGTAGGTTTGGTATCAGTGAGAATTGATCATCATCACTATCACTCTCCCTGACTGCTTCCTCCAAGGTATTTGGAAATTTGTGACTGTCATTCAAGGCGGCCTCAGAATGGTTCTTAGTCACAGCTTGTTGGTCTATATCCTCATCATGACTCCTCTCTGTATGAAAGAAAATAAATAATTTTTAAATAACTAAGCCAAGATGTAAGGGAAATAAAGCCAGAAGAAATGCTTGTGCACAGCTGCCATAATGAACTAAAACACAATGTATGCGAAAAATAATATATAAGATAAAAGGAGAGACTTGTATAAAGTAACGCCATAGTGAACTAAACCAAAATGTATGCACACAAAAATACATAAGATAAAAGGAGAGACTTGTATAAAGTAACGCCATAGTGAACTAAACCAAAATGTATGCACACAAAAATACATAAGATAAAAGGAGAGACTTGTATAAAGTAACGCCATAGTGAACTAAACCAAAATGTATGCACACAAAAATACATAAGATAAAAGGAGAGACTTGTATAAAGTAACGCCATAGTGAACTAAACCAAAATGTATGCACACAAAAATACATAAGATAAAAGGAGACTTGTATAAACTTAAGCCATAATGAACTAGAACACAATGTATCTAAAAATAATATATTAGATAAAAGGAGAGACTTGTATAAAGTTAAGCCATAGTGAACTAAACCTCAATGTAGATGAAAAAATATAAAAGATAAGAGGAGAAGCTTGTATAAAGTTATGCCATCGTAAAATAAACCAAGAGATACGATAAAATTACACAGGAAAAGAATACAAAGGAAACCATTATGTACTAAACCTATACGACGTGTATTATGTTACTGCATCTTCCACTTATTGCCAACATATACAAATATTAGGTCAGCAGTATGTACCCTTTTTTCTCCAGAAGTCTTTTACTTAGCTTCATATATGTGTAAATGTATGAATATATAAATGTATGAATGTGTAAATGTATGAATGTGTAAATGTATGAATGTATAAATGTATGAATGTATAAATGTATTAATGTGTAAATGTATAAAGAATAGTTAAAAAAAAGACAAACCTGAACCAAAAAGGTTTCTAAGAAACTCCTCATCTTCCTCATCAGAACTAGAATCAAGCAGTTGTCTGTCGTCTCGTTCACTGTTCTCATCATCATCTTGTATCACATCTGTTGTCAGAGACGGATGTGGGGGTACATAATGAGTTATATCATAACCAGCCAGGCCTCTCTCAATTTTGTCATTTCTCTGAGGAATTATAACCAGTTAAAGAACAGAAACTTTATTAATTAAGTAATGGATCATGATAAAAAGACATACAGTTGGATATCACCAGTGGAAACAAAAACATACCAGGCATAGAAATAGCAACAGAGTCACCAGACACAGACAAACCAGGCACAGGCACACTAAGATAGGCATCAGGCACAGACACACCAACATAGGCACCAGGCACAGACACACAAGGCATAGAGACACCAGGCACAGACACACCAACATAGGCACCAAGCACAGACACACAAGGCATAGAGACACCAGGCACAGACACACAAACACAGGCACCAGGCACAGACACACCAACATAGGCACCAGGCACAGACACACAAGGCATAGAGACACCAGGCACAGACACACCAACACAGGCATCAGGCACAGACACACAAGGCATAGAGACACCAGGCACAGACACACCAACACAGGCACCAGGTACAGCCATACAAGGCATAGAGACACCAGGCACAGACAAACTAGGCATAGAGACACCAGGCACAGACACACCGACATAGGCACCAGCCACAGACACACAAGGCATAGAGACACCAGGCACAGACACACAAGGCATAGAGACACCAGGCTCAGACACACAAGGCATAGAGACACCAGGCATAGAGACACCAGGCACAGACACACAAGGCATAGAGACACCAGGGTCAGACACACCAGGCATAGAGATTCCAGGCACAGACACACAAGGCATAGAGACACCAGGCACAGACACACAAGGCATAGAGACACCAGGCACAGACACACCAACACAGGCATCAGGCACAGACACACAAGGCATAGAGACACCAGGCACAGACATACAAGGCATAGAGACACCAGGCATAGAGACACCAGGCACAGACATACAAGGCATAGAGACACCAGGCACAGACAAACCAGGCATAGAGAGACCAGGCACAGACACACAAGGCATAGAGACACCAGGCACAGACACACAAGGCATAGAAACACCAGGCACAGACACACAAGGCATAGATACACCAGGCACAGACACACAAGGCATAGAGACACCAGGCACAGACATACAAGGTTTAAAGACACCAGGTACAGACACACCGACATAGGCACCAGCCACAGACACACAAGGCACAGACACACAAGGCATACAGATACAAGGCACAGACACACAAGGCATAGAGACACCAGGCACAGACACACCAACATAGGCACCAGGCACAGACACACAAGGCATAGAGACACCAGGCACAGACACACCAACACAGACACAGGCACTGACACACAAGGCCTAGAGACACCAGGCACAGATACACAAGGCATAGAGACACCAGTCACAGACACACCAACACAGACACACAAGGCATAGAGACACCAGGCACATACACACAAACACAGACACCAGGCACAGACACACAAGGCATAGAGACACCAGGCACAGACACACAAGGCATAGAGACACCAGGCACAGACACACAAGGCATAGAGACACCAGGCACAGACACACAAGGCATTGAGACACCAGGCACAGACACACAAGGCATAGAGACACCAGGCACAGACACACCAATATAGGCACCAGGCACAGACACACCAACATAGGCACCAGGCACAGACACACAAGGCATAGAGACACAAGGCATAGAGACACAAGGCACAGACACACAAGGCATATAGACACCAAGCACAGACACGCCAACATAGGCACAGACACACAAGGCATAGAGACACCAGGCACAGACATACCAACACAGACACAAGGCACAGAAGATTAATCAAAGAGCCATAATGCAGTGGCTACAATAATTGTCTACTGCTGGTGGATGCAGGTTTAAATTCCCACTGAAATGGATTTTTAAAAACTGAACCGGTTTCCCATGATGATCCAACTGAAAAGGGTAGCAGGATTTGTTTCTGGAAGTAAAGGCAGCTGGGATGATAGTGACCACATCAACTATTGAGCCCTATAAAAATATGGCACAAACACCTATATCCAAAATAATTCAAGGGTTAGAAATGAGACAATTATTTTGTGTGCTAACAGTGAGCTGCTATTCTGATGTGGGACTGTTAGTCTTCGCATATCTGACAGCTGCCTAAGGCATTTCACTTTGAGTGTGCAAGCTTACAGATTTTGCCAGGATTTACAAGCTTTTCACTAGTTTTCAAATGTCTGTGAAGGACATTTTGTGTGATTTCAAATGTCACAATACTGGAGCAGTTATGGGACAACCTGTCTGCAGTGGTGCTGCCTGACATAACGTTAACTTTCAAAACAAAACACACCAAAAAAAATATAATCAAGTACACAAGTGTAAAATAAAATATACTGGAGCAACGTATTAAAGACCTTAGTATTTGTTTGGGATTCTTTTAAAAATATTTTTTTATGAGTCAGACTTGTAATTACAGTGTACTGTGATCGAAATCCACTGCTGGCTGTGTGGATTTTTATCATGGTACGGGGTGTCGCAGGTCGACCCAACCTAAAATTGGTACCAGGATGGCTGTCTAAGGGAAGTAAAGACGGCCGGCGTAATGTTGACCACATTACCCTCTAGTGCCGATTGCTCTGTAAAAATATGGGTGCTCTTTCCCTATGCCAATAAGCCTAAAGGCGTGAAAAGGGATCTTTACTTACCTTTGCCTATTTCTATAATGTACATTTCACATTTTTGGTCATATCAAGCGCCACGATGGATTGGAAAAAAATTACAGCAGAAGGCATGGTACCAGAAAGAAGGGGCAGAGTCGACCGACACGAAGATGGGCGCAGGATATAAGTGACTCCATAAGTATGAAAGTACATGAGGCGGGAGTGCTGGCGAGAGACTAAGTTTCTTTCAGGCAGACTGTGATGACAGCGACGTTCTGCAAAGGACCTGCTACATGATGATGATGATGACATTTCACATTTTCTTCCAGACCCACCAATGGAGCATTGACCTTCAGTCAACACAGCCAAGTCATCCTATGGCCTGCAACTTTACCATGAGGCTATCAAGCTTCTTTGGCAACATACCTTTAATATATCCATGGTAAGGCAAGAGCTTCCTGTCCTAAGAGAGAACATATTCTTGATCCCAAACAGCTCCCCACAGTTCCCTTTATCTCCCTGAATGCCGTGGAAATACCTGCGAGCATTGGTGGTGCCAATGACTACTTGGTCAAGTTGCTAGGGGAAAAAGTAAATAAACATTCATCATCATCATCATTATCTGCCGACTTTGTCATCAAATGTCATGGGGAGGAATATTGATTGACCCAAAGTTTGATGGGTGACAATGGCTCTGGTCATTCAGTGAATGCACAATGTCTTCAGTGTTGTCAATTCATCTTCTTCTTCTTCAATGGTTTTATGCTTTCCATATGATCTTCTCATTCTGTTCATTTTTATTGCCTGTATTTACCGCCTGGAGGTGTGGGCCAGGAAGGGGTGGGGGGGGGGGGGGGCAATATCTGCATGGCTAGTGCAGCTGCCCTGAGCTGTGCAGTTGAAATTTTTATTTTAGCCTCAACAGAAAAAAGCGCCATCACTCACTGAGCACCAAGCTCAGGTCTCCCGCATGACAGCCGTGTTAGTAGTAAGTAAAGGACCAATTTCCACACCTTTAGGCACATAGGGCATATAGGGCTTGACCTATATTTTATAGACCAATGGCAAAAGATGGGGAATGTGGTCAGCATCAACTCGGCCGCCTCTACTTCCTGGGACTGCTCCCGGTACCCACTCAAGGCTGGGTCGGCCTGAGAGCCAAGGTTGTTTTTGAAGAAAAGTCCGGCTCCACCAGGGAGCAAACCCACGACCTTAGTGTTAGTAGTAAGTAAATTTTACCCCAACAGGACAACCATCGAGCGATAAACACCCGGTGACACAAAGTGCCGCCATGCGGCTGAGGATCAACCGGGGAGAGGTCCCGGAAACCCCATTCAACTGTTAGGTTATATTAAGGCCCCCGGGAACAGCCAGGGTGGGGCTTCAAAATAACAAAAAACTGCGTCCCACAGGGGGAAGTTGGATCAGCCCAGTGGTGTAACCATTCTGCTAGCGGCTCCTCATCTCCCTGATCTACTTAGAGTAAATAAATTCTGCTTATCGTTAACTAGGATTATAAAATTGTTTGGTGACCTAAACATTCTGATATAGTCTAAAGTCCAAACATCTGGCTCTCTTTTTCTTCTCTGTGTTCATTGGCTGTAAACTCCAGTGGAAACCCCTGGTTGTTCGTCCACCTCTGGACTTTGGTCTTGAGGACTTGAGTTTTTCATGAACATCCGTTTTACAGCTCTGGCTTATTTGTATGCACACTGTTGATTCCTTGCCTTTTAGGCAGATACACTCTGACTGCAAAGGGAACACCCCTTAATTAGTGGACTTTTACTAAATGTTTGTTAGGGGAATACTCTATTTTCCGGATCAACTTCATTGCACCAGTTTTTATCCCAGGTGGCTCGGTCTCTCTCCACAGAACATTCAGCCACTTGCAGAGATTGTTGCACCAAGCAAACATTCTTTAGATCTTTTTTACTGTTTATGTCTGCCGAGACTGTAACTGGGAAGTAATACAAGGAATCCCAGTCTCAAATATGTGACATCTCATTGAGAGCTAAAACAGGGGTGATTGCAGTCAAGTTAATAACATAGAATGAATCCAGTAAACTGAGACTAAAAAGCTTAACAAAATGGGGAAGAAGAAAAAGTGAACAAAAACGATTTGTGTTGTTTTGTGTACGTTTTTCTGCTTCCCGATTTCGTCAAGCTTTTTAGTCACAGTTGGCTGGAATTCAGAGTTTACTATTAAATCTTCTTCTTCTTCTTTGGTTGTCTCAATGACACCAGGTTGTAGTCCAGTGGCCATGGTTTTCTGTATTTTTCTTGCTTTCTAATGTGGCATGGGTGGTGGATTTTTCAAAATCTGTTCGCAGGTTTCAGCTAATTAATTTATTCATCTTTTTCTTTAATCTTCTCCTTGCCTTCCTCCCAGATATTTGGCTATAAAATAAATATGTATATTTATTACCTGTTTGTAAATCTGCCTCAGATAAACATTCTCCTCTATGGTACCAGCAGACACTAGTCTGTACACCTTCACATCACGAGTTTGTCCAATACGATAAGCCCTGACACATAAAAAAAAAACCCAGCATCAATTAAGATTAGATGTTAAAAGATATCTAAATCTATTTTTAACAGTTATCAATCAATCTATGAATCCCTGAATCTGCTATACAGACTCTATATGTTCATTAGAACGTCTTGGGCTGCCAAAAAAAACACAACACATCTTTTATTATAGACTATTCAGTGTCGCAAGTTAGTTAATCGACGGATTATCTTAATTGCATATGTACCATTTAGTCCAGAAGTGCTAGGATCCCCTCCCCAGTAAATCTTGCAGTGTTTAGCAGCTCATGACACCAGTTCTGTGTTAGTTTCTAACTCTTCATTGGCTTCCTGCATAGTGCTCTTCTGTGGCCATATCCCTTTTAATTTGATGTTCTTGCAGTCTGGTCATGGTTGCAGATTCACAGTCATCACTTGGTTCTCGCAAACATCATGCCAAACTGTTTAAAATGATCTCTTTCTTGATCTCCTATTGAACCTCCAACTTTTCTTTTCTCATTCTAATGATGCATCAAAAGAATGTGAGTTGTATTCTTCAAATGTCAGCAACCAATTATCTTTGCTGAGAGTTTTCTTTCAAGATATCCTCATTACTATCAACACACCACCAACAGATACAAACTAATACAGTATAAATACAATTTAAACTAATACAATATAAATACAGTTTCACTGTATTTGCCACACTTTGACTGATATGTTTATTACCTTTGTTTCCTACACTGGGATTGTGGTACTTTTACTTTGGTATAATTACACATACTAAGAGATGAGACAGGGTTACAAATACCAGCATAAGAGAGAAAGTGGGAATAAGACGATGTCTGGATTATAATGACAGACAGAGAATCAAATGGTTCAGCCATATAGTGAGGAGGCAGCCATACCAGACTGCATATGAGACTGTTTACAGTAGAACATCTGGGAGGAAGGCCAAGAAAGAGATGGAAAAATGGTGTAGAAACCTGCCAAAAGTTGAACAAATCTATCACTCAAGCCATATGAGAAGTGCGAGGCAAATACAGAAAACCACAACACTGGGCTACAACTTGATATAACAGTGAGACGACAAAAGAAGAAGACACATACTGACTAAAAAGTACTGAGCCATCTCCATGGAGATGTTTCAAGGTCAGTCAGTTCCAGGCTTCCATGGTTATAGGCAGATATACTTGTAAACTTGGACAGGAAATGCCATAATCTGCATTTTCTTTTCTTCCTTGTTTTCCTCTCTATTAGAACACATCAATATTTTGCTTTTTTTTTTTTTGACAGATTTTGTAAAATAAAAATGTCACAAATTTTTTTAAATCGAATAATCAAGTGCCATCTCCATAGTGAAGGTTGTCTCTAATAGATCTCAGACATACTCTGACTATTGTTTTGGTTGTGCAATATCTCAGTCTGCTGTTTGTCTATCTCGTGATCTTATCCTCTCACTTGTATCACTGTCTTTCTCTTGCTCTGGACCTTTCCCTCCAGTATTTTTTTTAAAAGAGTGTTATGATTTTTAATTTGGCCAAAATATTTCAGTTGTCTCTTTTTAATTAATCTCTTTTCCTATGCAGTCGCTCTAGAACCTCTGCATTTGATTGATTTTGTTTCCATTAAAGTTTACTAAGGTGACTAAATGTAAGAGGATTGACATCCCCAGCACAGGGTTTCATGACTGTCTCCTTATACAGACAAGTTAGAACATCTCAGTAAGAATATAACAGCTCCAACTAGTGATTTTGCGTACATGGGTTTTAGATAATGTCCATGTTTGGCACTGGTAGCTTAATGAATATGCTGTTTATAATCGGTTTTTTTGTGTGCTTTAACCACTTTTCTTAAAAGATAAAAGAGTTACCTGTCTTGAGCTTGTAGGTCATGGCTAGGATTCCAGTTGGGGTCAAAGATCACAACCCTGTTCGCTCCAGTAAGGTTCAAACCTAGACCACCTGCCCTAGATGCAGCAAGTACAAGTCAAATATAATTAATTTTACACTAACAGCACGAACATATTTTTGTCTTTAATGCCTGTCTTTACAACTTTTTGAGGAGCAGCTAGCAGAATCTGGAAGAAATCCAGGCTCTTATGTGGGAGATGCAGGTTTGAATCCTCGGTAAGGTTGGGGATTTGTTTCTGTTAAAGGCAAAAGTAAAATCCTAACCTGCACAGGCTGTAGTGTCAGCATTAGACATGTGGTTCTAAATCCTTAGGCAAAAGACCCCTTCTCCCCCCCTCCCCCCCACCAACTGACACAGCGAAAGCAGTAGATACAGGCAATAATTTCTTTCTTTTATAACTTTTTAGGATAAAGTAGAAAAGTTCCTGTGAACTGTGCAGGTTAAGATGTTTATTTCTGACCAGACCAAAAAAAAATGCTTCTATCACTTCACTGAAGGTTTGAATCTGAGTCTTCTACATAGCAGGCCAGCATTCTAGCCCATGGGCAAACCACTGCTCCTTTTTGTAAAACTTTCTACAAAAGGTAACTTAAAAAGTACATTTCTCATCTGCACACCTTCAGGTCTAGTGGGTATATGGTGATAGCCCTTTATTTTCACAGATAATCGACACCTGACAGGTGATGTGGTCACATTTGACTGCCCCATGATGTCATATGCTTAACACTCTTGACATCCTTAACAATACTGACAGTTACAAGACAATGACATAGTTAATGTCATCTCTATCATACCCTTAAAGTTTTCACTTGAGACTAACTCAAACATAGGCTTTACACATTCTAGATTATAATAAAGGTCGGGTGACCAGTTATCTCTCCTATCCCCTACCTTATTTTGTCTTCCTCCCTAAAACATCCTCAAACTGTCTGCCAATGATTTTTATGAAGCCAAGCTGATCTCAGAGCTATTACCGTCCCAGTATGGGACGCAATTTTTTGTCATTTTAAAGCCCCACTCCGGCTGTTGCCGGGGGCCCTAATATAATCCAACCTATGGGTTGAACGGGGTTTCTGGGTCCTCTCCCAGGGTGATCCTCATCCGAATGGTGGCACTTTGTATCACTGAGTGGTTATCACTAGCTGTGATGTCCTGATGGGGTTGAACATCAATCAATCCTTCTCAGAGCTATCAATCAATCAGTCAGCATATCTTTTACAAAACGTCACTTTCTTCATGACACGCCTGAAAGTCTCTCTTTCTCTAGCCAATTCTCAGCTGTGCGTGCTTTCACAGCCACTGCATCTTTAATGTCTTGTGTACACCTTTGTGATGGTCAGCCTCCATCTCTTTGTCTAGTTTTCTGCAAACTGCACCCTTCATCACCATTCTCTCCAGACCATCACTGAGCTATACCAGTCTGGAAAAACCACTTGTCAGTAATAGGGATTGAATCCAGACCTCTATATTTGCAGGCAAGCATACTAACCACTAAGCCTCCAGTGTCCTAACAGAACAGTAAACCCCTAAAACAAGTGAAGATTGATAAATGTGAAAGAACCTCTTACTTTGTAGATATAAGACACAGAAAGATACTGCTGTCACTGTTGAACTGTTTAACGATGTCATGGCGGTGGTGGCTGCTGGTTTTCCCATCAATTCGTCGATATACATGACCTTGGCCTATTACATACTGCTCAATGATGTCTAAAAGCTGTGTATCATAAAAATAAAAATAAACAAAGATCATGCATCAACAAAACATGGTAACAAAATAAATCTGTAGTGCTGCAAAAAGGTAACATTTTTGTTTTTGTTGCTACAGTATTTCAGAGAATGAGTTAGTTATTTGTCTCTACAACATGACTGGTAGAGTGAAGTGTTACTAATCTTTGTTTTCCTTAAAGGCCATAAAACACAGGTATAACAAATAAGAGAAAGTGTAAAAAGATATATATATATATATGAGGATTGGGGTGAACTGCATGAAGTGGCAAAGGATAGGATGATGGGGTTGTGGAATAAATGGAGAAGAAGAGGAAGACAAAGATAAAAATAGTTCTTTTATCTATTCCTCTTCTACTTTTAATCACCAAATAGAGAATATGCCCTCATCCAAATCATGCCAAGCTCTTTCAATTTCTCTTTTGATTTTCATATCAATTTGCTTCTTTGTCTTATCAATTTTTTTTACCTTGTCTATCCTTATCCTTACCATGTGCAGTGATGTCCAATGTGATAAGAAAGTACTAAATTTGGGAAGGCACCATGTCCAATTATATCAATTGTGATAACATTATATGACATATGGAATGTACCATGTTCAGTTATGTCAGCTGTGATAACAAACTGTGACATTTGTGAATGCATCATTCAGTGATGTCCACTGGGATAAAATAACATGACATTTTGGAATGCACCATGTGCAGTGATGTCAACAGTGATAACATAACATGAAATTTGGGAATGCACCATGTGCAGTGATGTCAACAGTGATAACATAACATGAAATTTGGGAATGCACCATGTGCAGTGATATCCATTGTGATAACACAGAATGAAATTATTTAACACACAGACACATATGTTACAGGCACTAAAGGTTATATGATTTATTTCATTCTCCATCTTTTAATCTGTGAGTACAGGAGTTTCAGAAATCACTGAGGATGATTGCTGGAGCTACATAATCTTTTGATTTATATAAAATTTTCAGTAGTGAAACAGCAGCTCTGCAGAGAGAGACTGAGCCATGTTGGATGAAGTTGATCCTTGCACCTTTAAACATGGGGGTTGCTGTGGTGAAGTTGTCAAGACATTTGCCTTGAAATCTGAATGTCAAGGGCTCGTTTCACTGCTGTCTTGTTCACCTGATGACTGCATTTGTTATAAAGACTCCATAAGTTACGGTGTTCGTGCCTTGTTTGACACTCTCAGCAGGCGACTTGCCATTTTGTGAAGAGAGACTGAGACATATGGGATCAAACCTGGTGCAATTACGTCAATCCTCTCGACTTTAACCTTTAAACACAGTATTAACTCATAACCGACTAAAACAAGAAATTGTTCAATATACATAGACATAGTATGATCTATTCAGCAACATACCCGTGTAGAATATGAAAAAATGAGAACTTTGTCATGATTGGTATTAAATGCATTCAGAAGTCCCTGTAAAACCTGAAATGGAAAAAAAAAAAACATGAATCTTTAGGATAATTAACTGTGTACACATTCTTCTGTTCATCACTTAGAAAAAGAAAACAAAAAGCTAGCAGCAAAGGTGAGACATACTGGCATATGTTGCTAACCTATGTTGTTAACCCTCTGACCCTGAGAAGCGCAAAACCTGGCCCTTTGGTTTGTTCCATGGCCCTGCAAAGGTCCCTTTCATGGCTTGCTTTATGAGGAACCCCGGCTAACAGCACTGCTTCCTTTTTTTTTCGGCACAATTTGTTGACCAGTAATGAGCATAGTTGCTAAAAACAGTATTTAGGTGGGGTTTCCTTGTGAAAAATGGCTTTATTTATAGAAATTATGACTTCGGAATTTCCCATTACAGTTGTAACTGGCGGTCGGGGGGGTCAGGGGTCAAGAACGAGTCAGGCTAAACATTATTTTAAAGCTTAGAGAGATGTACCCAGTCAATTTTCTGCCTCATTCATGTTTACTGATCTGTTTCTATTATTAATTGTATGCAGTTAAACACTAGTTTGGTCGATAAATGGAACTGTTATGATTTATTTTTCAATTTAAAAAAAACACAGGAAAGTTAGTTGCGTATCCTTTACAGGTTGATGCAGAACCAACCCCAGAATTTTTTGGCTGTTGTGGTTTTCTAGGCAAATTATACGTTCAGTAGTTTGCCACTGATTACCACTGCTAGATGGTTTGCTGTCAAATCGCCCACAGCTGGGATCAAACCCAACACCCTGGATATACAAAGTGCGTTTGCAACGCCTAACCACAGATCTGTGTAAAATATTGTTTTTGCTTATTTTTTAAAATATATTTTAAAGAATATTTTTGAGGGGAAATAAAAAAAAACACACAGGTCCTTGGCATCATGTTTTCTAGGCCATTAGCTGTGAAAGGGTTAAAGACATAATGGCACTGTTTAAGTGATATGGGCACTATCAAATTGGTTGTTTAATTTCTCAAGATATTTCTTTTAATATAGATGCAAAAAAGCAAATCAAATAATTCGACAGATTCACACAACAATATCATCGCACGAACAAACAAGTAAATACCGACATCAACAGAGCACTGCTCAAATAGTTTTATTTTAATCTAGCACACTTATATAAGTGCGGCATCCCTGGCTTAGGCGTTGGGAGTCAGACTAGTGATTCCAATGAACCGCGATCGAAACCCACTGCTGGCTGCGTGGATTTTTATCATGGTATGGGGCATCACAGGACGACCCAGCCTAAAACGGGGACCAGGATGTATGTCCTGGGGAAGTAAAGACTGCTGGCGTAATGCTGACCACATTACCCACCTAGTGCCGATTGATCTGTAAAAATGTGGGTGCTCTTCCCATTTGCCCGATGCACCTAAAGACGTTAAAAGGGATCTTTACTTTACTCACACTTATATAAGTCTAGTGGCCATGCTCAAAGATGTCTTCAAAAGCCAGTAAATGCCACAAAACCAGCTTTTGCGGGGCAAAAAGGATAAATATTTGTTGACACATTTTAAAATTAATTCTTCACAGAAAAAAAAAATCAAGAAAAAAAACCTTCATTTTTCCACAGTATTTGGGGTCAGAGAGTGTCCGGAATGCAGCAGTATTTGTCAGCTGAATGAACTGTGGACAATCTTTGAAAGCTGTGTTGCAAACACTTTGAGCTAGGCTAGACTGTTTTCCCTTGGTGTTCTTATCTGGGATGAGCAGGGCCATGTGATTTGCTGCCTTCAGTAGCAGGTGCATGAAACTGAAGACCAGGGCCCATGCTTTTGTACCACTGGAAGACTTCTGTAGCAAAAATATAAGTTGTATGTACCATAATATCACATACATTGATATGTATCTATAACTATAACTGGTGTTAACAACAGCCCATACACTTATACGTATCCAAAACTTAATTAAGTAGTGTTAAAGAGCAAATAAATTGATACTATATAACTAAAAGTGGTGTTTTAATAGCATATAAGCTGATCTGTATTTATAACTAAAACTGGTGTTGTAATAGCACATAAATTTATATGTATCTATGACTAAAACTTGTGTTTTTTAGCCGCTTCATAAATTGACATGCATATACATGGCTAAAAGGGGTGTGTGTACACTTGCATGCATATAACAAAAAGTGGTGTTTTAATAACATATAAGCTGAAATATATTTATCATGAAAATTGTGCTATAATAGCAAAAAAGCTTATATGTATCTTAAGATCTACTTCCTCTTCACATTCACTGACTATAAACTCCAATGGAAAGTTCTGGTTTTTCATCAACCTCTGGATTTTAGTCTTGACCCAGAACCAGTGTGTTGCACGCACATCTGTTTCACTTATCTGACTTATTTGTATGCTGACTGTTGGTTTCTTGCCTCTCAGGCAGATGCACTCTGACTTCAACGGATGTCCCTAATTAGATGACTCTTATAACATGTGTGTTGGGGAGGCAATAGGTCTATTCTGATTTTCCCCACAATGGGGGAGAGTTTTAACTAAAACTAGCATTTCAACAGCGTATCAGTTGACAAACGTGTGTGTCCCATGACAAAACAGATGCATACGGAACAATGATCACTGATAAGGAAGATGCCAAATGGGCTAACACAACCTGCAGCAGAACAGCCTATCAATTTCATTGGATTAAATGTTCTTTTAAAAAACGTCACTGACAAACGTGTGTTCCATGACAGAACAGATTGCACACTGAACAATGATCACTGATGAGGAAAATTCCAAATGGGCTAACACAACCCTGGAGTAGAACTGCCTATTAACTCAAATGAATAAAACATCCTTTTAACAAATGTCCTTTTTAAATATCGTCCTTTTAAAAAACATTGTGGAGACAAATGTGTGTCCCATGACAGAACAAATGTACAATGAACAATGATCACTGATGAGGAAGATGCCAAATGGGCTAACAAAACCCTGCAGCAGAACTGCCTATCAACTTGAATGGATACAATGTCCCTCACCTTTCCCAGCACTGAATCTGTATCTCCAGAAGTGAGCCATGATGAAGACTCTTATAAAATTACTTTCTGTTTACACCATAATAATTCATTGTTGTTTACCTTATAACAGCACGAAGCTCTGAATTTCCCACTCCGACAGTCACAAGGATCCTTAGCACACAGCACCAGCTTCATGTCCGGGTGTGAGAGAACAGCCTTGTACACGCTTCTCTGCATCTCTGACAGCCTGCACATCACCACCATGTCCTCTGCAAGTGTATGTTGACTAACTTAGTTTCATAAAATAAAACTAACACAGACAAACTGCATAATATATAAGTACAGTACAGTATTGGAGGAGCTGCTGGTCGAACGGTTGAGTATGCTGGGCTCTCATGCAGGAAAGCCAGGATCAAATCCTTGGTATGGTTGTGGACTTTTTGGTTTTATGTCGAAGGCAAACATAAAATCTCAAAGAGCATAGTCAGCGGCAACAGCACTAGCCATGCAGCCGTTAATCGTCAGGTTCTTAGACCCCCTACACCTCACCCGAAATCCAAAAGAGAATGGGGATAGCAGCAGCTCTTCATCCCATTTCAGCATCAATTAGTTGCTTGTTGTAACATGTTTGTTAAGAAGCAGTTGATTTATATCCCCCCCCCCCCCCCCCTTTCCCCCACCCACCCATGGGTTTCCAGGATCCACACAAGGAACTGGTAGAACAATGTTGGTTGAAGGAGTGTTAAACAATACATTCTCAATTACATCTCTTGCACCTCTATATATATAAGCCTGGTTCATCCCAAAACCATATTGGTTGAATCAACACATTTTACAACTAATTTGAAGTGAAGTTTGGACAACTGTGTTAACTCTTTCAGTACCAAACAAGTCACCATGTTTCTTGGTCATTCAAATATAATATGATATTCCTGCTGTCTTCTCTCACAAAATTAGTTTTGTATCATTTACAGGACGTTGCAGAACCAACCCCAGCATTTGTTGGCTGTTTGTGGTTTTTCTAGGCAAGTTTATGTCCAGTAGTTTACCACTGCTTTCTGGAGGGTTGGCTTCTCAAAACCAATGCAAGACCCGCTGCTGGGATGAAGCCGGCACCCCGGCATTACGAAGCGCGTTAGCAACGCCTAAGCCACAAACACCGACTCTCACAAATAGAAGTTATATTACCACTTTTTAATTTTAATTTATTAGAATAAAATCTGTAACCACTTCTGCCCAATCTGTCCACATTTTGCCACTTTGAGCCTAAGTAGTTATTTAATTAAGCCAAAACTTTTGAGGAGTTGGACTTTTTTCAGAAATGACCTTGGCTCTCAGGTACAACCAGCCTTAAGTGGGAACCACATATACTCCTGAGAAGTAAAGGTGGCCGGCGCGATACTGACCACATTACCCATCCGGTGCCAATAGGTCTATAAAATATAGGACTAGCCCTATATGCCTGAAGGTATGGAAAAGGGTCCTTTACTTTTACTTGTAGAATTCTTGAGATGGGCAGAGTTCAATTAATATTTACTTAGGACTGAAAGAGTTAACAAGTACATTAATTCTTTGAGTCCCAGAGGGTTTAGTAAATGATGCCCAAGGGGTAGTCAAGAGAGACCTTGCCTTCACTGGGCTTCTAGGTAGGAACGTCTGATGCGTTCCTTGGGACTCAAAGTGTTAATCACCACATTGCCATGACAACTCTCACCCAATCCCCAGGACACTCTTAGAAATTTTACCTTTAGAAGGCAGCTGATCAGCAATTAAAGCTTTCGTTCTTCGCAACATCAATCTTTTTCGGATGTCAGAAAATGCATCTTTTCCTGCAAGATAATAATCAGTAGTTAGGTACGCATAGTTAATATAAAGTTATTATAAAGCTGAAACTCAGCAGAAGATGTCAGAGTGTGTTCACAAAATTCATATTATTTGAATAAATATGTTTCGAGTCTTTAATGAATATCTCAATTACTGAGACAATTGATAAACACCATCTTCATTCCAACACTCTGCTACCAGTGCCAAACATGGACAATCAACAAGACCCATGAAAGAAAAATAGAAGCCTGTGAAATGAAATGTCTAAGAAAAGCAGCGAACAAGACCAGACTAGACAGGATAAAGAATATAGACATTAGAAACACTGTCAAAACTACGCCATGTTTAGACTACATAGAACATCAAAGAATGAAATGGTTTGGACATCTAACCAGGATGAAAAATGATCAAATAACATCACAAATTTTCAACCAAAGAAGCTCAGGATATAAGGCAAGAGGAAGACCAAGGAAACGGTGGATTGACGGGGTCTCCGAAACCTGCCAAAAGCATGGCCTCAGAACATCAGATGCTGCCCGCCTTGCTTATGACAGGAACTTGCATCTCCCCACAACGCTTAGCGGCATACGTGGAAGGAAAAAGTAAAGTAAGTAATGAATATCTCTCTTGCTCTCACTCTCTTTCCTTATCTTCATTCCATTTCTCTAGCCCAAATTCTTAGCTACTGTTCTTCTACAATTTAAAACAATTACTATATTTTCAAGCGTATTTTAGTAAAAGTGAAATAAATAAATATTACATTTTGTTGAAAAGTATAAGCCAATATTAATTTAGACAAAATAATGCTGAAATTAATGAGTCACATTGGTAACATTCTATACTATTAAACAGAAGCTACTACTTTTAGGTCAGGTCTTGGTCGGATATGACGGAGCTACCGTATAACAGTAGCCGGTACCACCTGTCTTCTTTTACACCGAATGTTAGGCGGCGTATACCAAACCTAACATCCCAAATTGTCCCAACCGCTTCGGGCGGAGGAGCGCATTGGGGAGGATACTAGCCTTATCATAGGAAGAGGAAATGCAACCTGAAAACTTTATGTTATGACAGGGCAGACCAGGCCCTTCGTCTTGGCAGGCAGCTGGTCTAGGAGGGAAGCTCTGACAGGCGGACAGATAGAGCACTGCTCTTCTGATCCGGCAGCTTCTGCACCCTGCCTTGTTCCAAACGTACTGATTTCACCTTTCCTTTGGAGTAAACAAGGCGGGTTGAGGGAGGGATCATTATGCATGGGCAACATATGGTCTCTACAATGCTGCCCAGACTGTGTGCTATGGAGAGGAGGAAATGACAAGACCTACAGTCTACATTGATGGTGAAGAGCTAGAGACAGTAGACCATTTTATCTATCTGGGTTCCACAGTGAATAGTAAACAATCCCTGGACGAAGAAATCAACATCAGGCAGCAACAACAATGAGCAGATTGACAAAGAGAGTTTGGGAGAACAGAAGGCTCACAATTAAAACAAAAACTCTTGTCTACCAGGCTTGTGTTCTCAGCACTCTGCTTTATGGCAGTGAAACTTGGTCAGCCTATTAGCACCAGGAGAGACGGCTTAATAGCTTTCACATGCGATGCCTAAGAAGAATACTTGGCATTAAGTGGCAGGACAAAATCACAAACACTGAGGTACGGGAAAGAGCAGGTACAACAACAGTCTTTTCCATGCTCACTCTATGAAGGCTCAGGTGGTTGGGTCACACCTGGAGAATGGAGGATGGCAGAGTCCCTAAGGACATCCTTTATGGTAAATTAAAAGCAGGAAAAAGATGTTGAGGCCTACCTCTACTACGATATAAAGATGTGTGCAAGCGGGACATGAATAATACAGGTATTGAGGCTGGCTCATGGGAACAAAATGTTATGGACCGTGTTGTGTGGAAAGGGCATATCAGGAAGGGAATGAGAGTGAAGGAAGAAATTATTGCAGAAAGGATGAGAGCTGAGCGTCTGAAAAGAAATGGATTAAACACCAATGCTGACAACAATGGTCCTGAAATCCCATGCTTTCATTGTGGAAGACTTTTCTTGACACAGGCGGGTCTTGCAAGTCACACTCGCCATCACCATGGGCTGTGAGTCCCATGCCTCCTCACAGAGCAATATAACACTATCGTCTGGAAAGACGGAAAGGTGCCAAACAATCAATTACTTTTACATATTTACAAAACAAAAGCTTCTCTTACGTTTACGAGCCTGTGCAAGCTCCCTTTTGGTTGCATCATGTCTCTGCCCGTTCTCTATAGTCTGAACAAAATCTGTCTCAAACTGTTCAAGGGTGCCCAGAATACCAGGCTGAACCCTGCAGGAAGAAAAAACCATGAACAAATGTATCTCATATCAGGAAAGGAATAAGGTCCTCTAACAACCTGTCACTATCTTTTAATGCCTTTATACATCACATAAGACTTAAGTCTAATCCTCCATTCTGTTCTATCTTAAGCAGTCCTTTCGATACGATGGGTGGGATCAACTCCATACCTTTGGCTTCTCTTAGTAACATTTGTTCTGGGGTTTCTCTTGGATGTCCTTGTACTCTAACAACTAGTGCAAGAGGAATGAATAACACCAGTCAACAATCAAAATACACCAGAAATGAAAGTAGCTGATCTTAACTAATTTTGGTGTGCTGAAAAAAGAAAATGACATTAAAAAATGTTGACTAGCTCTAGTTTTCAAGATATATGCTACTAGTTTACTTAATTAGGGCCAAACAACTGTTGTGGCTGGTTGCATAATTTTTTTTTCCTTCTTCTGATGACCAATAGAACTGTAACCAGAAGCTGACAATGCAGTCCTACCTATACATCACCTTTGTGCATAAATATCTGTCCTCTGGCAAAATATTACCATTATTAGCTAGTGTCTTTGTCTTTATTAATACTATCATAGTTAGAAAGGCCCAGGAAGTGTGTGAATGATGCTGATAGCTTCTGTTATGTATGTGGTGAGGTGACATTTTTCTCACAAAAACTTAATATAATTAAGTGATTAAAACGGCATACAGTTTGTATTTTGGCTGCAGAATACGAGATCAAGATAAGAGCTGGGCACCACACATATGCTGCAATTCATGTGTAGCAAATGTTAAAATGTGGTTGACGCAAAAAGCAAGCTGTGTCTTTTGAAGACTTAATGATTTGGAGAGAGCCCACCGATTACCTTAACAACTGTTACTCTTGTATGGTCCCTCCAATTAGTAAAGTCATCTAAAAAAAAAGAGAAATGGACTCTGGAGTATCCTAACATCCCCTCTGCAATACGTTGGGTACCACACAGCAATGACCTAACAGTACCCAGGTGTGAGAAACTCCACTAAACCACACTCAATAACCTAAAGTAAACTGAATGATCTTGTAAGAGATTGGAATTTACCGAAGAACAAAGTGAAGCTTTTTGGTTCCAGATTGCAACAGTTGAATCTTCTGGCAGAAGATGTCATTTCTTGGCTAATGGCAGCCCTAAAAATCAATTACAAACCGGAAGAATGGAGGCTTTTCATTGATTCATCCAAGATGAGTCTTAAAGCTTTTTGTTGTTGTTGAATAATGGTAATGTATTACCATAAATTCCAGTTGGTCACACATTTGGAATGAAAGAAACTTAGAAAAACATTAAGCAGCTTTTGAAGTGTATAAACTACGATTATCATCGTTGGTCACTTTGCATGGACTACAGAGTGGATATACCAAGTACTGCTGCTTTCTCCGTGAATGGGATAGCCATGCACGACATGACTATTACTTCAGAAGACATTGGTCAATCAGTTGGTCATTGCAGCCTGGCAGTAAGAATGTGGAAAACCCAGCAGTTGTTAACACCAGCAAGATTCTGTTGCCACTCTTGTACATTAAGCTGGGTCTCATGAAAAACTTTTGTCAAGGAAATGGAGAAAACAAATGATGCTTTCAAATGTATCTCATGTAAAAATTTCCAAGACTGAGTGAAGCTAAAACAAGAGAGGGAGTATTAGGTGGTCCACAGATTTAAAAACTTATTCATGATGAGAAGTTTCTTAGTACAGATTGTCCTAAAGTGAAAGTTTAGGAATTAACAATTTGTAAGAATGTCTCAAAGAGAAAAATTTGAGAACAAAGAATGTATAAGTATTGTCCTAAAAAGCCTTATAATTGAAAAGCACAAGAAGGGGCAGTGTTACAAATACAAGCATTAAAGAGAAAGCTGGACTAAGACTGAGTCTGAATTATATTTGCAGACAAAGAATTAAATGGCTTGATCATCTTGTAAGAATGCAGCCAGACCAAAAATATATGAGATTTTTTATAGCAGAATATCTGGGAGGAAAGCGATGGAAAGACCTAGAAAGAGATTAATAAATGGTGTAGCTGAAACCTGCAAAAAGAGGAACAAATCAATCACCCAAACCACCAGAGAATACAGAAATACAGAAAACCAAGATACTGGGCTTCAACCAGGTATCAGTGAGATAACAAAAGAAGAAGTGAATGGTTAGAGAATCAACAATATGTAAGGATGCTAGGGCATTGAATTAAACTCAAGAGAAACAAATAAAACCATCTTTTAAAAATTAAAAAAAGTATTTAAAAAAACAAAAAACAGAAAGAAAACAGAACTTACCAATCAAAAAGACTCCATAATTCACTCATGTTGTTCTGTAAGACTGTACCAGTTAGACCAAATCGACATGGCGCTTTAACAGTTTTCAAGGCATGGGTGATCTGGGCTTTCAATCCCTGTCAAAGCCACAATCATTCAGTTAGATTGCAACAACAAAAAATCTGATGATTGAAGGCCAGAAATTCTGGTCTGGAGGTTAGAAACAGAAGAATATTAATTCAGATAAATAGCACATTAAGGGATCCTTTTTTATGGGTATTGAGCATACAAAGCTAGATTCAGCTTTTAAACCAAATGTCACTCCACGGGTGAGGTCAACACCATGACAGCTGCCACTACTTCCCAGGAAGTTACCTGGTACTCATTTTAGACTGGGTCTACTTGGAAATTAAGGTCAATTTTAAAAACTTTGATGCCTCAATGCGGATTAAATCCTAGAGTTTAGGGCTGGCAGGCAATCGTCGAGCCACTACTTTGTTGCAGCTCCATCATCGTAACCTGGATACATCCTAAATGTCTCTCTCTGGAGATGTGAAGTGTCAATACCAGCCAAGCCAATTCCACTGGTTGATTAGCTTAGAGAGGTGAAGGGCTGTTCTGCAAATACAGCTGCGTGTAAATAGTACCTTGGAATATGTGTGTAAGTATGTGTGTGTGCAACATTTTATCGTTCCAGACAAAAGTGTTATGTTGTGCTATATACTGAATCATGGGAATCAAAACCCAATGGCGGTGGGCAATTAAGGCTGTGAAGGAAGTACTGCCTATCCATAGCACAAAGCCTGGGCACTACTGATAAGACTTTGAGTTGCTCATGTTGCATGATCCCTCTCTCAGCCTGCCTTGTTTCCTTCAAAGCAAAGGTAACATCAATACTGTTGGAATAAAGCATGCTGCAGAAGCTTTACTCCCTAATAAAAAGATTCTGATTGCAGTGAGAAAAAGAATGTTAATGTTCTATGTTGAACCTGTGTTGTTATATGCCTGTGAGACATGGACAATAAGCAGACAAGCTGAAAAACATTTAGTTGTGGCAAGAGATGTGGTTTTTAAGAAATGGTATGATAGAATAACTAATGTAGAGCTTTGGGAGACAGCTAAACAGGCTCCAGTGGAACAAGAGGTGAGGAAAAGATGCTGGCGTTCGATAGGACACACACTGAGAAAATAGGAGAACAGCACAACTAGAATGTCTTTGCACTGGAACCCACAGGGGCATAGAACTAAAGGAAGGCCAAAAAACACATGGAGAAGAGAGCAGGAGAATGAAGCCAGAAAGATGGGGAGGACATGGGAAGAGCTACATGTAATGGTGAAGGATAGAACGACTTGCCGTGAGTTGGTTGAGGGCCTATGCTCCACTGGGGGATAGAAAGGCAGAAGAAGAAGAAGAAGAACAACAGAAAAACAAATGAAGCAATCTTCACTGAGACAGATGAAAGCTGTAAACTTATTAGTACAATTATATGTAGACAGTCTGTGTTTTTTTCTAGACGTTATGTGAAGGAATGAACTCAAGAACCTAGTAACAACTGGCAAGATTGATGGAAAGAGAGCAAGAGGTAGGCAAACAGATAAATATCTGGATGGTTTGGCTACACAAGAACATTTACCTGATCTGTGATTCTTGTGATGGTGGGAAAGGGCAAAACATGACAGTCAACGTTTACCAGCATGTCGCATGGGGGGGGGGGGGGAGGAGGAGCTAAGTGTTGGGGTTCTCATTATGGGGGGCAAGGGGCTAAGTGTCTCTCATTATGGGAGAAGGGGCTAAGTGTCTCTCATTATATAGGAAGGGGGGCTGTCTGTCACTATGGGGAAAGGGGCTAAGTTTCTCTCATTATGGGAGAAGGGGCTAAGTGTCCCTCATTATGGGGGAAGGGGCTAAGTGTCTCTCATTATGGGGAAAGGGGCTAAGTGTCTCTCATTATGGGGGAAGGGGCTAAGTGTCTCTCATTATGGGGGAAGGGGCTGTCTCTCATTATGGGGTAAGGGGCTAAGTGTCTCTCATTATGGGGAAAGGGGCTAAGTGTCTCTCATTATGGGGAAAGGGGCTAAGTGTCTCTCATTATGGGGGAAGGGGCTAAGTGTCTCTCATTATGGGGGAAGGGGCTAAGTGTCTCTCATTATGGGGGAAGGGGCTATTTATGGGGGAAGTAAGTGTCTCTCATTATGGGGGAAGGGGCTAAGTGTCTCTCATTATGGGGGAAGGGGCTAAGTGTCTCTCATTATGGGGGAAGGGGCTAAGTGTCTCTCATTATGGGGGAAGAGGCTAAGTGTCTCTCATTATGGGGGAAGGGGCTAAGTGTCTCTCATATATAAGTGGGGAAGGGGCTAAGTGTCTCTCATTATGGGGTAAGGGGCTAAGTGTCTCTCATTATGGGGAAAGGGGCTAAGTGTCTCTCATTATGGGGAAAGGGGCTAAGTGTCTCTCATTATGGGGGAAGGGGAAAGGGGCTAAGTGTCTCTCATTATGGGGGAAGGGGCTAAGTGTCTCTCATTATGGGGGAAGGGGCTAAGTGTCTCTCATTATGGGGGAAGGGGGGGAAGAAGGGGCTAAGTGTCTCTCATTATGGGGGAAGGGGCTAAGTGTCTCTCATTATGGGGGAAGGGGCTAAGTGTCTCTCATTATGGGGGAAGGGGCTAAGTGTCTCTCATTATGGGGGAAGGGGCTAAGTGTCTCTCATTATGGGGGAAGGGGCTAAGTGTCTCTCATTATGGGGGAAATGGGGGGGGGCTGTCTCTCAAGTGTCTCTCATTATGTCTCTCATTATGGGGGAAGAGGCTAAGTGTCTCTCATTATGGGGGAAGGGGCTAAGTGTCTCTCATTATGGGGGAAGGGGCTAAGTGTCTCTCATTATAGGGGAAAGGGGCTAAGTGTCTCTCATTAAGGGGGAAGGGGCTAAGTGTCTCTCATTATGGGGGAAGGGGCTAAGTGTCTCTCATTATGGGGGAAGGGGCTAAGTGTCTCTCATTATGGGGAAAGGGGCTGTCTCTCATTATGGGGAAAGGGGCTAAGTGTCTCTCATTATAGGGGAAGGGGCTAAGTGTCCCTCATTAAGGGGGAAGGGGCTAAGTGTCTCTCATTATGGGGGAAGGGGCTAAGTGTCTCTCATTATGGGAGAAGGGGATAAGTGTCCCTTCCCCCTTAGTGTGGAGAGAGGTGGGTACTCAGCGACCTGAGGGCCCCCTACCCTACAACATTATTTGCTTATAGCATTTGTAAGGTGATGAGGAGGGAATGCTTTAGGGGTCCCCTCTGTTTGTTTTTTTTTTTACCTTATGTGGTCGGATCTCCTCTATCCAATGTTTTCGTTAACACTCAATTTTTAGCCACAAACTTTGTAACCTGAGGAGGGAGTAGTCCCCCCCCCCCTCTTTCAGCTTTCTGGCAGCGCACATGAGCAAGTCATGACCTCCTACATGTCTAGGACTTTCATGTACAACATTCAATCAGCAGTTCAGATCTTCAACATGCGGGACTCATTCTATTACATTTTGTTTTTCATTTCAGAGATTTATTATTTTTATTTATATGAAACTGTTATATTAACAACAGTCAACAGTACAATAAGTGAAAATGACGGTAAGGTTGGGATACATCCGATAGCAAATATGGGAGAGGGGAGTGTATGCTCAACCGAAGGCTAAGCGTAATAGCAGAGAAAAGCCAACAGTTGCGCAGAAAAAAAAAAAACGATTCTGCTAGCTCGCCGCCAGTTTCCTTCCAAACTAAGGTACCTATTTTACAATCCGCCGCTTCAGGGCGATTCCGAGACCTCGCACGAGAAATAGTTACACTTTACTGATTAGCACTCACAGTATAATCGGCGTCTGTGGCTGAGGGGTTGTGAGCGCAGTCTCGCTATTCCGACAACTCGAATTAGTTTAAAACATTAAGAGCGCCGTAGCGTTTTGGAAGCCCCGATAAACTGCTGAATGTAAATTTTCTAAAGAAAAGGTAAAACCAACATGCAAATCGCTTGAACTCATTAAATAAAGGAATGCATCTATGTTACATTAAGCACAAGATTACGTGACATCAAATTAACTACAGCGGGAACACACGAACGTCAAATTCATTAATAATCAAACTTTCATGAGACTATTTAAAAAAAAAAAAAAAAGGTATAACTATATTATTCCAACAGACCGAGTTGACGCGACGGTCTGGGTTTACTCAAAAAAAAAAAAAAAAACGGTGAAAACGAGACGATATGGTCTCTGTCTCTCTCTCTCTCTATATATATATATATATATATATATATATATATATATATATATAGAGAGAGAGAGAGAGAGGCGGAAAAGGGGGAGGGGGCGCTTCACTGTCTTTCGATTTCTGTGAACGAAACAATGGTAAATATAAAAAATACAAACTTCCGGCGAACGTTTGTTATGGAAGGCAACGCGTTCTAAATGTGGATTAAATAAAGTCAGGTCGACTCGTTATATAAACTTCAAAATGTTGAGATCTGTAATTAAATTAAGTTATTGTAGTATGTTAAGACTAAATCCCCCGTGTCAGGTAACAAAACTGCAACAACACGTGACACCCAGTTGTTTCTTGCATTCAAGGGCTTTTACAGCCAAGGACGACGACGATGACGAAAACAGTCTGCCTCGCATAACTTGCCCCGCCAAATTAAAAGAACAGTACGAGCATCGCCTGAAGAAATATCGATCAGGAAAGGTAAACCCTGTCTCGAGAGGCCCTCTAATCCTTGCATGCAAAAGAAAAGTCTATAACTGTCGCAGAAATGATAAGTTTGACAAATACAATCTCCAGAAGCTAGTCAGTTGTGGCTGGAAGAACAAGAAAAATGCGGGGGACCATTTTACTCTGTTACCACATTCGGAAAACCCATGCCTGCAGGATAAAGACGAGATATTATCGTTTCAAGAACTGGGGATTAATGAAAATCTGTGTGCTGGATTGCAGAATTTAGGATTTGAACAGCCAACAGTGATTCAGAAACGTGCTATTCCTAGCTTATTACGGGGTGAAAATGCTATTTGTGCTGCTGAAACTGGGTCTGGTAAAACGTTAGCGTACCTTCTACCCGCTGTGGAATGGATTCTACGATTAAGATGTGAAAATAAAGACTCTCATAAA